AGCACCTCCACCAGCCCATCCACACATTAAATGTCAAGACGTGGAGGGTTTCTTTGGAGTACTCATTACACTATATCATATACGTAAGTTACTTTCAAGCCATGGAATAAGGCCAGCATCAGAGATGCTGGAAGAGAAACTGCATCAAGGGTATATTCTTTTTACCTTCTTTCTGCTGGGATTTTTCGACTGGAAAATAAGTGGTTACAGCTTTGTTTCTGCACCTTCTTTGCATGATCATGTTATTAAGAATGATACATTGGTAACTGATTGAATAGGGCTACTTTTTCATTATCATCTTTCACATATTCTTTCCTATTTAAAAAATCTAGGGTTAAATTACAAGTTTAGTCGTCAGGATTGTGTTTAATAGGCCATTGACTTTATATGTCAAGCTTTTTCGAGACCTTGAGTAGAACAATGATGATTGGAGGCATTTTGACATAATTCTTTCATTCTTCCGATTCTGTCCACAGTTTGGTACTGCATTGTAAACTTGGAATTATGTCAAAATGCCTCCACTCATCAATTACCTCATTAGTCACTAAGGTTAAACCAGACATTTGTCTTTCTTCCACAAAGGCAGTCTAGTTAGAGGGTTATGGATGAGTTAGCATTTTTTAAGTAATCGAACATCAGAAAATATATAAAAATAGTTTTGGGTTGCAGCTTCAAACCTATTCATATCTAAGATACTTCCTCATCAAGGAAAAGTTCATTTGAGATCAATGAGTTAAAAATGTGCTTGCATGAGTTCGAGATTAATGCTATTTTTCTTGTTATTTTCTGTTAGGATTATTTATCTATTTAGCTGAAGGGATTCTTGGAGGTTGATTATCAACAGTATTTGTGCTGAAGTTATTGGAGACTGATCATGTTACAAGTTCTTTTATTCACTTGAAGTTTTTAGCTACCACATTGAATGGGTCTCTACATATTGCAGGTCTTTTGCAAGATTTATGAGCAAAAATGATCATATCTGCAAAGTAAGACTCATAATGGAGAAGAGCTTGTCCCATGGTGCACCAAGTCCCAAATTGTCCAAAATGATGGAAGTATTGGTCGACCATTTTAGTAGGTGCCAGTAGTAGTTGAATGACATGTCATCTTTATTAGTAATTTAGTAATAACAACATTTCTGTTCAAGTCTTGACGCCTGAGATAGTTCTTGTTTTCTTTCTGAATATTTATTTCAAGAATTTGAATATTCCATAGTCCTTTTTTTTAGAATTTTTTTTATCAACAGTATTTGCTCATAAATCTCCAAAAGGAGAAAGAGAAAGATCCAACAACAACCAACCAAACAAAATGGGCTAAAAAGCAGTCCCCAAAAGAAACAAACCAAAGCAAACAGAAAACAAACCATGATACCAGATAGCGACCCATAATCACAAAAAGAGGACAGAAGAGGACCAAAAGAACTCCTCCCTAGCAACCACTACATGGCAAACCAGCTAATTGAAAATCCCAAAAAAGTTTACAGTGATCTAAAAACTTCTGGCTCTTCTAGAACTGGAAGCTCAAGAGTTGTCTTTGTGTTTGATAAGAACAAGAGTAATGCCATCTTGATCAAATTAATTTGAGAAATCATGCTTTTCAATGTGAAAGAGAGATTATAATTCAGAGGGTTTGTAATTTCTGGTTCTCTTTTTATTTAACAAGAAACGAATTTCATTGATGAATGTAAAGGAACATAATGTTGAAGGATACCAACTCCAATTTGGTGTGAAAAAACATGAAGAAAAAGGAAACAACCTGGAAAGGGGAGACAAAAGTCCCCAAATTCTTACAAATATTATTGTAAGAGTTATTTGCAAATAAAGGAGAAAGAAAACACTAACATGTGGATTTGATCTTGGCCGGTGCCTAACTTTTTAGAACAAGATACAAACTTCTCAAGGAAAATGAACAGAAAGTAGAATGTTATAAGATACAAACTCCCAACGGGAGTGAAAATAAACCATAAAAATAATACAAAAGAGAACAAATGAAAAGACAAATCAGAGTAAAGGTGGGTCGACATCAACTAGACGATTGTGTTGTCTTGGAATATCAGAGGATTAGGCTCTTGGGAAAAAGAGCATTCATAAAGAATCTCATCCTAATACGAAATCCCACCTTAGTCATCTTGCAAGAGACAAAACTGATAAAGATTGATCAACTCACCATCAAGTATCTGTCTAGCTCTTGAGACATTGGATGGACCATTCCAGAATCTTATGGAGCATCTAGGATTCTCTCATTATGTGGAATGACCTATCTTTCCAAGTCCCAAACATAACCAAAGGTGTGTCCTCCCTAGCCCTCCTCATCACTCTCACTGAGGATTTCAATTTTTGGCTTACATGAGTCTATGGTCCATCCAAAACAGAAGAAAAACCTTTATCCTGGGTGAATTGACTGACCTATCATTTCTTTGCTCAAACATTTGGCTTTTGGGAGGCGATTTTAACTTGATCAGATGGACCAAGGAAAAATTGACCTATAGAAAATCCGACAACAACATGAATCACTTCAATGAATTCATCGAACAGGTTGCTCTATAAGACATTCCTCTATCCAATGGTCTTTATACTTGGTCAGACTTAAGGGACAGTCCCACCCTCACTCTCTTGTTTGTCTATCTCCAGACAATGGTGTGTGGTTTGCGAGGCCAATTTGGAAACAACAACATCTTTTTGTCTCCTGTGACTATGCTACTTGTTTCTGGAGTATTATTCTTTCGAATTTTGGTTGGTCAACTGCCCTCCGGGTCGATCTACCTCTCTTTCTGGAAGTTTCTCTTGTGGGCCATCCATTTAAAAAGGAAAAGAAACTTCTATGGATGAATTTTATTAGAGCCCTTTTTTGGTCACTTGGAGAGCGAAATCAACACATCTTCAACGAAAAAGAACTTTCTTTTGATCGGTTTTTTGAAGCTAAAGTGTCTTTCGTAATATCTTGGTGTAAATGATCTCCTTATTTCATAACTATAGCTTTTCTTCTCTTTTGTTCAGCTTGAAAAGCTTGATGTAATCCTTTGAAGTAGGCCCACTTTTGTAATTTCATATCATCATGAAATTTTCTTACCCACAAAAAAAAAAGGAAAAATTGTAGACTATTGAATAGTATATGACATATCTAATAAGTCTTTTAGACTATCAAATAAAATAGAGTTAGGTGGTTAGTGGTCCTACTCCTTGTCTTAAACTGTACTAGTTGTACAAGAAGCTGTAGAAGAGGCATTCAGGACATGATTTAAAACTGAAGCTTCATATATTTTTTTTTAGTTTTCTTGGCTCTTTTTTGTCAGCATCTCATATTCATAACACCAAAATAAGTTGTTGTGCATTATATTATAGAACTTCATTTTGCTTTTATATTTCAATTATTTTGCTATCTATAGCTTTGATACAAAACCAATTTTCTTGATGTGTTTGTTGCCAATGGCTGTGATGTAATTGAATGCTATGACATGTTAGTTGACAAAGTAACTTCGTTGCAGAAACTAAGGATCCACAATATTCAAGGGTGATTATATTCTCAAATTTCAGAGGCAGTGTAAGGTGAATTTTTTTTTTCTTCAAGCTCAATTTTTGTAGTATGTGACGATTTAGAAAGTGCACATATCCCCATTAGTTATTTATTATTAAACTTGCCTCAATGTGATAATAATACTTAGGGACATTATGGATGCATTAGCCAAAATTGGAGACATAGTCAGAGCTACTGAGTTTATTGGTCAAAGCTCAGGTTTGCAGTTCCACTTCTCCTCATTTTGCTTATAAAATATTTTTTTTATTCGCAACTATATAAACTTGTTAGAAACAGAGGGAACATTTTTATTAAAGAAGAAAAAACTGAGGAGATAAAAGAGGGATCTCCCTCCGGTTAAAATCATAGGGAGAGAGTAGCTACAGAACTATTTACATTTGAGTGTCCAAAAAGATAAAAAGAACACAATATCATCCCACAGATGATCAAGTGACTTGGGTTCTAAATTATTATGTGACAACTAACATCTTCTTTGCTTTATCTTATTGTCTTTACATTTCTTTCGGGGTTAGGTTGCAATTGATTTTTTCTTTTCTTTTTCTTTTTGATAGAAGGTGGGAGTCGATATCAGAGACGTCTATCTTTTTGCATATAATTGCATGCGAAATGATTATGTTGTAGAGAATGTTCTTAGGACTATTTAATTTGATCTGCTTAGTCCTCTAGTTGAAAAGCCAATAGAGTAAGCATAGATAACTTGGAGTTTTGAGCCTTCCATCTCCTGAAGTGGCTGCCTTTGTTCTATGGCTTGTCAATCCAAATTGGGTTTAAATATATCTATTGCCCCAGTTTTGTTCTTTTGCAATTTGTTTGAGCTTGGATGTCTTCTATTTGTTGGGACATTTTTTATGGTTGAACAAGTTACTTAGTCTAGAGTATTGCAGGAAAAACTCTCAAAGGTCAATCACAAAAAGTTCAACAGGCTGTATTGGAGGTAGGCAATTAGGGTTTTCAAGTACTATCCCCAGACCCTATTAGTTACTTGCACTGAATTAACATATTTTTGCACAGAAATTTCGTGCTGGTGGGTACAATGTCATTGTTGCCACATCAATTGGTGAAGAAGGCTTGGATATAATGGAAGTTGATCTTGTCATCTGTTTTGATGCAAACATTTCACCAATAAGAATGATTCAGCGGATGGGCAGAACTGGAAGAAAGCATGATGGACGAGTGGATATCCTTTAATATTCAATTATCAATCAATCTCATCTGTCAAATTTCGAAGTTGTTCTAGGCTGACGTATTCTTTCTTCAGTTTAGTAGGATATTGTGCCTCCTTGTTTGTTATATTTTTCTTATCCCCACCACACACAAACACACACACATTCTGGTTCTTTCCTTCTTTAAGTAAATTTTTGATCCTTGAAGAGAGTTTAACCCAAGAAACACATGTATAGATGTGAGGGTATGCCATTTTTCCTAATAATTAAGACAGATACAACAAGGATGCAATTATTTAAATGTCGATTTTTTAGTCTCTGATATTTAAGCTCATTTACTACCAAATTATTTGTTGGGAGTTTTATTTTAAAAAAGTGTCTTAGGGAAGTTTTAGCCAAACTTTAAAATCTAAAAACTAAGAGACCAAGAATTTGTTAGTAAAGAAACCTAATTTTTAAAAAATAGAAAAGTAAAAATAATGGAGAAAAAAAAAAGAAAAAGAAATCAACTAAGTTCATATGTCTACATGTTTCAGAAAACAAGTTTGGTGTTTTTTGTAGTCATTTTTTCCCTCCTATAATTATATTTATCTCTATATTTTTCCGGGGAAAAAGAAAATCTGACCCTCTTGTATGAATGCCTAATATGTGCCAGTGTTTGGTGCCTATTTGAAATGGTCACACAAGTAAAGCGTCGATGTCTCAAAGATTGGAACTTCATCTCAATTGTTTTCCCTTTTTATGTGAATTATATAATTTCCTTGACTACTATTACTAGTTTTAGCTTGTGAAGGGTCAGAATTGAAGGGTTACATGAGAAAGCAAACAAACAGCAAGTCTATAAAGAGACACATGCAAAATGGGGGAATGAATAGCTTCAACTTTCATGGTTGCCCAAGAATGGTGAGATCATCTGATAGAATCCTATCACAACATAGTATTCTTTTCTTATACCATCGATTCTTTTCCACACTTCAGATTTCCCATGCTATCAGGCCGGAAGTCCAGTTTGTTAAGATGTCAATTAAACAATTTGTCCGTCCTGGAAAGAAAGTGAAAGATGATCATACTGCTCAGACAACATTGTTTAAGAAAAAGCTAACTGATGTTGAGACTAAATTACTTCTCAAGTATTTCCATCCATGTGAAGACACATGGAGGCCGTCACTTATTGCCTTTCCTCACTTCCAGACTTTTCCCTCGAGAACCCATGCAGTAATGCATTCAAGTAGAACAATGGTTCTAATTGACACAATGCAACACTTGGAAGGACTTCACTTTTCTAGAGATTCTGAAGCCATTTCTGTTGAGGTTTGCTTTCAAGTTCTCTTCTAATTCCTTTTTTCCCCTTAAAAGAAATTACTTTCTAGCGTTTGACTTATCATACCATATGTATGGATTCAGGAGAAATCATGCATTAGAGAACTATTTGGAGCAGGCCACATTGAAAAATGTTATGGCGGCAAAAGAGGTAAGAGTGCTGGAGGACAGTAACTGTTTCTTTTTATTTCCATTACCTGCACCATTGCACACGATTCTAATGTTCAGGAAGGTAAGATTTTCTTTGCCTTCATGGGAAAATGCGACATCCATTCAGAATCATTGCATTCAAAAACTGAGGTTTTTTTTTAACAAGATATGAACTTTTCATTGAAGAAATGAAAAGGAACAAAATTGTTCAAAGATACAAATTCTCATAGGAGTGAAGAAAGAGAATAATAAAGACAAAACAAAAAACAAAAAATATAAGAGTCCCAAAGACAACCAAAATCAACCTTAGAGGGGAGATATAAAGCTCTCCCAATTACAACATATCATACTAGGAGAATAATGAGAGAACGAGGCATCTAGAGAACACCAATGTGAAGCTTTCATCTTTGCAATGTGGAAGCATTCTTCTGGAGACTTCTTTTTCTCTTCAAATATTCGTTGATTCGGCTCAAACCAAATTTTGGAAAATAAGGCTTTGACACCATTTACCCATAGAAGCCGAGCTTTAAGGTTTAAACCCAATACACTTAGGAGTTGAATGACGTTATCTGAGACAACTTGATCAAACACCCACTGTAAAGAGAATGCCCGGAAAAGAAACTCCCAACAAAGCTTGGAGAAAGTGCAATGGAAAAATAAATGAGACTGTTGCTTATCACTATTCTTACACAATATGCACATGAAGGCTACCTATTTAAAGGAAATACACTTTGTATTCCTCATACGTCTCTAAGGGAAGCTATTTTGCTCGATGCTCATACGGGTGGTCTTGCGAGGCATTTGGGACGTGATAAGACTTTTGACATAGTGTCAACTCATTTTTATTGGCCCCAAATCCGCAAAGATGTTTCTAATTATGTCCTTAAGTGTTTTACTTGCCAAACATATAAAGGCAACACACAAAACATCGGGCTTTATACACTATTACCAATACCCGAAAGTATCTGGGAAGACCTTTCAATGGATTTCATTTTAGGTCTTCCTCGAACACAACGGGAATTTGACTCGGTTATGGTGGTTGTAGACCGGATTAGCAAAATGACACATTTTGTTGCCTGCAAAAAGACCTCGGATGCAATGGCTAGCCACAGCTACTTTATTTTTCAAAGACATCGTTTGCCTTCATGGCATTCCTAAATCAATAGTTTCTGATCGCGATGTGAAATTTCTAAGCCACTTTTGGTGTACCTTGTGGAAGAAATTTGATACATCATTAAAATTTAGTAGAACGAGCCACCCACAAACATATGGCCAAACAGAGGTCACGAACTGGTCCTTAGGCAACCTCATTCGGTGTATAAGCGAGGATCATCCCAAACAATGAGACATTTCGTTAGCTTAAGCAGAATTTGCCTATAACCACATGAAGAAGAGAACTACAGGGAAGTCACCATTTGAGGTAGTTTATACTAAACTCCCCATATTAACTTTAGACCTGACTAACCTACCTTCCTTTGTCGATCTCAGCTTAGAGGCGGAAGAAATGGCCAGCCGAATTACGGAATTACATCAAGAGGTTCGCAACCAGATTGAACAATCAAATACAAAGTACAAGGCTGCAGCTGACAAGAAAAGAAGGGCAAAGGAGTTTCAAGTGGGCGACCTAGTAATGATTCATCTAAGGAAAAACCCTATATTCAAATAATCGAGCACTTTGGACCTAATGCTTACAAACTTCCGCTTCCAGCAAATTACAACATCAGCCCTATATTCAACGTGGCTGATCTCTACAATTATAACCCACCAGATTCCTTCACAATAACTCCCTAACTCAAGGACGAGTTATTTTTAAGGGTCGGGGAAATTGATGTAGTTAAATGTTAGTTTCGGTTAGTTGGTTAAGTTGTTAGGTTATTAGTTTGCTTTATGAAGGTAACTTAGTTACCGTGTAGTTAAAAGCCCAGCAGCCTCTATAAATAGCTGCTGGTTTTCATTAATAAAGGATGATCATTTTCCTTCAATAAAACTCCCCTTCTTGTATGCATCAAGAAGTCTTTTGTAACTCCCTTGGATTGGGGTCATTCCCCGCTTGTGCGATTTCATACTATCAATAAAGTTGTTTCTCATGAAAAAGATTTTAAGGTATCAAATGATTGATCCTTGAGATGAGTCTTCCCTAATCATGCAAAATGTGAGTGGGAGCTTTAGTTCTTTTTAATTTATGCAAGTATCTGGACTAGCTTATATGCCAACTTAACTAATCTCACGGGCTATATATGGTTGCTACTAAAGAAAGTAGTAGGATGTTAAATTCTAGATATGTGACTACCTTAGTTTGAACCCTTTTCCTCTAAGCTCTTTGCTTTTTATATTGGCCCCAACGACCACTAGCCCAACCCATGGTTGTTTATTTTGAATTTATTAAATATATGTTTTAAAATTTTTGTGAAAAAGGAAACATTTTTGCTCCTCTCCATGTGTATATTATTGTGGCGATGATGCCATGTTGAATGAGAACTAAGCTCACTATGGTGGGGTGTTTTCTATTAATATTTTGTTACAAGCACATTGTAATTTATTTGTTAAAAATGATTGTTTGATTATTTTACAGGTTCACTTAATGAAGTCAACGCTTCAAAAGCAGAATTAGATGGACCATTAGTCCATCCTGAAGTCTTACCACCTCCAAATCCTGCAGAAAATAATTGTATTTCTGATTACTGTTTTTCGAAGCATTCTATAAACATAGACCACTTTGGTTCTGATTTTGTATCTGTCGATGCCATGGGAAAGGACCAAATGTCTCATTCCCCTGTGTTCTCTACAAAAAATTTCTTGCATCCCAACTCTGTTGCTGCAGGCAGTAAAATATTGTTGAGTTCTGAGCTAGGTTCTTGCAGTGTAAGAACTGCTCAGGACTTGACCGTGCAGACTGAAGCTGTTAATAAACCAACAACTTCTCAAACAAAATTCTTACAGGATGAAATTCTATCAAGCCCTGAAACAGATGGTGTGAATGTCTTGGAAGACAAAGCAATGAATCAGATTGAGACAATTCATCAAACTGCTATCTCGAACAGAACGTTGTTTAATAAAGGGGATAGTGCCAGTGAAATGCCCGTTGTTTTAGAAATTGAGCCACAATTCCCACTAGCTGATGAATGCAGCATAATCGAGACGCAGCTTAGTCCTCGTCTCACTAATCTCGTCAAAAGTGGTTTTGTTCCAGATTCACCCATTGATGATTGTGGTAAATGCTATTTTCCAAAATAATACATATATATTTTATTGACAAAGAGGGAATATTTAACTGTTCTTTCAATTATTTTGTGAAGACAAGAATTCACGGTAATAGGGGTTTTATTTTTCAGGAAATTCAAGCAGACAAAGGATATATGAGTTTACAATACCAGAGTTTATCTTGCCTGTCCAAGTGGATGGTGAACAGCTTTTAAAATCTCCAAGCCTTGGGACAAGTGAAAGAATTAATTGCAATGGGGGCTCCTGTGCTGGAGATGACGTTTTTCTCTCCACTGGTGAAGTTCAACCTTCTCTACTTAAGGAGAATGATAGTGTGATAATAAAATCACGTGCCTCTATTTCTCCTGTGGCTGATGAAACACAAACTCCCTTGGCCATTATTGCAAGCAGTTGTGGCAGTGAAGATTGGCATTTAGTTCCTGGAGAAAAGTCGAGCAGTATACAGAAGCCTCGCAAATTTAAAAGGTTGCGAAAGATTGGAGATGTGGAGAAAAATGAGAACATGGAAAGCATGGTAGGAACTTTGGTTCCTCCAATGGCAAATATAGTCGGAACTTTTTCTAGCACCAGACCAACAAAAAAAAAGAAACGTGATGGTATTTTTCTCTCTTATAGTTCAGTTTTTGGAAAATCCTTATTGAGCATACTTCCAAACAAAGTTATTCCGACCTACTTGCTAATTATCAATATCAATTGCTGTATTTAGGTGAAAGGAGACTTGATGACAATGTTAGAGCATTTATTGAGGAGGAAGCTGAGTAAGTTCATAAATTACCTCGAGGGAGTAAACTAGTAAAAGATTCCAGTGCTAAATTGTACCTGAAAAGTAATTCTTACTTGTCTTATTAAAGAATTGATTACAATGGTAGATTAAATAGCAATCTACGTGGAAGAATAAAAAATGGAAAAAGAAACCCTTGCCTACTAGAACAAGGAAACCCTAACTTATTAGAACCTAAATGTAACCAAGTAAAGAAAAAACTGTATATTATAATTTTACAAATATAATTTAACAATACCTTTGATAATGATATGATAGTTCTACTTTGAGCGCACTAGTTAAGAGGAGACAATGATACATCCGTGAATATTATTCTGCCTAAATTTTTGTTGGCATTTAGGGTTACTTCGGATGCAACCATATCTGAGGATGAAGAAGATGACAAGATTAAGAGCTCGTTTGATAGTTTCATAGATGACAGGGTTAGTGCTAGTGGCGGCACGTGTACTCAAGATGAAACAGGCAGACCTGATATGATGGCAGTTTACAGGTTTCAGCAAACTCCATCTTTCTCTGTTATTTAATTTTAATGAGTATGTGAGCTCTCTCATTATGTGACCATGTGGCAAATTATACCAGAATACTTAGTCTAAGAAACCTTAATGACCATTCCAATGTTTTGTTTTTATCATTCTGCTAAGAATGGGTGATAACCTGTTGCAAGGGAAGGGTGGAAGAATGAGGAAGTACGCTGGGGAACTAAATATTGAAAAGGACGACAATTTTGGAATGAGAATAATCAAGTACTATTGTAGGAGGAAGAGATAATGGTTAACATCTTAACCATTTGAATTAGTGTAGTTTGAGGGCCGAAATTACTTTCAGCCTGGTTAATGTCTTATTTCGTGATTGGCGTTTTTGAGAGTGGAAATAAGAAGCTTTGGAGGCTAGAATGGTACGTCAGATAATTTGTATACTCATTTTTAGTTTAATAGCCTTCTTGCTATCTAATCACTATGTTAGGACAACTTTAGTTGGCCTTTCTGGTTAGTTTCTTGTGAACTTTTTCCCGCTTATATTATGATGTTTGAATTAGGAACACATCCATCTTATATTTCTTCCGGCCTTCTAAAACCCATATAACTTTGAGTCATCTTCTCCCTTAGCCCCTGCATATTACATAGAATAAACAGTCTCTTTCAAGCTTTACATTAACACAATTTTAATCATTCTACATGTCATATCATGTGAGACTTGAATTTTGGTCAGAGTTTAGTAAACATGGAGGAATATGTCGTGAAGTTTTATACCTTTCAAAAATGAAAATTTTGTTAAATTACAAGTTTAGTTATTTAAATTTGAGGGTTGTGTATAATAGATTCTTGAACTTTGAAAAGTATCTAAAGTACCATAAACTTTAGGGTACTATATGACTAAGTGGTCCCTAAAATTTAAGTATTAACTAAGTATATGAACTTTTAATTTTGTGTATGATATATTGCTAACATATTCGGCATTTTAAAAATTTGACGAATCTATTATATATAAAATTAAATTATATCTAATAGAAATCTAATGTTTGAATTTTGTGTCTAATAGGTCCACAATTTATTAAATGTGGAATAGGTCAAAAGATCAAGTAGACATAAAATTAAAAGTTAAAAAACCAATTAGACACAAAATTGAGAGCTTAGGGACTTATTATGCACTTTTTAAAATTTAGGGATCTATTAGACACACTTGAAATTTTAGGCACTAAATTTGTAATATAACATTGAATTTTTAGGTGGAGCTATTTTTATAATTGCTGCAGTATAGTTGATTAATCTTATGTAACAGGCGTTCTTTGCTGAGTCAATCACCATTCGGGAGGCTGACTTCACCCCTCTCGGCCCGGGTAGCTGAAACTGAAAGTGAAAATTCTTCTGGCAAGACATTGAATATTTTCCATTCAACTCTAAAAGAACATGTCAATCAATCTTCAGAATATGTCAAAATGAACCGTAGCCCCGAAGTTGTAACTTCTGCAACCGGTTGCTGCTCAAGAGCGGCAGAAGTGGAAAGCAGGAAAAAAATTCTGACATTTTATGCATCAGAATCTGTTCCTAAACTTAGTTTGGAGAAATTGTTTGAGTTTGAGGTGACAGGAAGAGAATCAATGAACGATGTTGACTTGAACGGAAATGTGCTTAATGATGATGATGAGTTTTACGAAAGTCTTGACCTTGATGCAGTCGAGGCCCAGGCAAAACTGTTCCTTGAAAAGAAAGTTGAATTGCCTCAGATGATGGTTCCTCAGAAACAGAAGAGCTTTGATCTTGATACTTCTCCATCTTTTGATCTTGGGATATAATCATTTTTTAGGGCCCCCACCCAATTCTTTTCGTGATTAGTACATATCAAGTTGCAAATATACTTTAAGTTATGTTTTAGTGGTTGTGTGGGGAGTATGTAAAAAACAAATACCTATGCTGTAGAAAAATTATTGAAATAAGAACTTCAACTATGTTACAATATAGGTTTTAGACTTCACCTATTTAATTTCGATGATTTGATTCTTATAAGAAAATAATAACTTCATGTTAATTTGGTAGATATAAATGCTTAATATGTAATTTACTTATCACCAGTATCATTAATGATGATTGGATCTAATTTCAATAGATAAGTCAAAACGTTGGAGAGATTAGTAAGGCCCTGTTTACCTACTCGCAATCGTAATCAATGAATCTTAATGAAAATTTTGATTCATTTTGATGGTGTTTACCAAATTGTAGAAATGTAATCAAATGGTGAGACTTACCTCAAACTTTGTAATCCCATTACATAATTCCATTACAATCCTATCAATCCCATCATTTATTCCATTGAGCCTACATATATATTATAATTAATATACCACTTTTATCCTTTCTCTCTCATGGATGAAATCCATATAATTTTTACCAAATTATATGGATTGATGGATGAAATCCTATCAATCCATATAATCCCATTACATAATTCCATTACCAAATTGTATACTAATTAAATCCATATAATTTTTAATTAGTTTTATTTTTATTAGTTGATGTGATTTATTATACAATATTAATATTAATTAATATCAATAAATTCTTTAAATAGATATTATTACTTTTAAATATTAGAATAATAAAACTTAATAATATGTTTCTTCTCTTAAAAAAAATATTTTATTTGATGTAATTTTATTTTAATTATTCATTATATATTAATATTAGATTAATTGTTATATAAGAAATATTTACTGTCAATAATATAGTGATAAATTAAATTAAAATTTATTATTATTGTAATTTAAAAAAGATTAGCGCAATAATATATTTGTAATTGACTAAAGGAGAAACAAATATATTAGTAATTGTTGTATATTTTATTTCAATTCTGATTTCAGACAGTTTTAGTAAACAACATCTTCTGATTAGGGTTTAGAATTTTCATTACGATTGCTTTCTATTAGGATTGCGGCTAACTAAACATGACCTAAGTTGAGGTGAAATGGATAAATAAAGATGCTTAAAATATAAGGATGTAATCTAAACTTCTAAGTTAAGAATTTAATAGATACCATTTAAAAAGTCGAGTTTATATTTAACATTTTTATATTTCTCTTAAAACACATTCGCTGGCAAGTTCAAAATTTTACTTAAAATGAAAAGTCGTGGGTGGACGAATGAACTCAATCTGCACGATGGCTTTCACAGCAGTATCTTCTTCACTGCCGTCTTGTTCTTCTGTGCGTTCAGTTCTCTCTTCCCAGTGGCTATCAGATCCCACCACTCCATCACGGAAACCCTCGTCTCTCTCGTGGGTATCTTCATTTCCGAATATTAGCATATCTACAGGCTCGTCTTCCATCTCTTCGAATCCCGCGCATGCAAAGGTACAATTTCTTTACTGACATCCTATTCGATTCCCTGTTTATTCCAGAGGAAATCCCATTTTTATCCGTTGTGGACCACGGATTTCTTGCACAACATGTACTTAGTTTTGATTTGAGAGAACTCTGGAACTAACGAATTTACAAAGACAAAACAAGTTGCTTTCGTTATTTTTAGAACTGTTTGGCTATTTGCTCTATTGTTGTTGTTCACTTTTATTGGGAGGAGTTATGTTAAAATCTAGCTTCAGTAGAATCGCTGGGATACTGATTGGAACCGAAGTCAACTGGGAATATAAAACCTGAAACCTGAAACTGTAAAGTGAAACGTCGGGGAAGGAGAATTATTTGCGAGGAAGTAAATATGTTGTGGCTTTGCTGCTAGTTGTGTATTCAAACCAGTAGTCAACATGAACTCGATCATATTCTAATTTTCCTAAAATTTGCTGCACAGTAAAGGAGTCTTCTTCAGGATATAGTTTGAGAATTTGAAATAATACTGTCTAGAGTCATCTTTAGGAAAATAGTCGTGCTGTTATTATGGCTGAAAAGGACAGAGTGTTCCGTGGTATAGAGAGTTCTCAACTATTTTCTGCTTCTTTCCAGGTCAAATGACTATATTGCTATTGTTGAGCATTCCGCATCTTTCAATTTCTTCATTTCCGACCTTCAATTTAAATTGGGTTTGAAATTGAAAACACTTTAAATTTAGAAATTCATAGATTTTTAATTTTTTATCATGCGAGATGAATGAATGGTTTCGAGCCGTTTTAACCCATGACCACTTAGTTAAACCTGGGAGAAGTTTCCTCTACTTGAAATCGTTGGGACACAGGTAGGTTATATTGGCAATTTTCTGACTTGAAATGTGAAATATTCAGGGAAGTTTGCATTGAAATAAGTATAATATCTGTCTTTTTGAAGAAGAGGAAGACAGATCCCCTTTTGTGGTGTGGCGGCAATGCTTTTGTGATAGTTATTTCCCTTGGTCAATGTTTCAAAAGTTTGTTGCTAGCTGGCAAACTTGGATACGTCATACAGGTCCAACACACGTGCTTTGGTCTGTGATTATGAGAAGAGACTCACTAGCTACATGGATAATAGGACTTGTGCCAATCTTCAACCTAATGGCCTGTCCTTCTTTCAGGGTTAGAGATAGAACAAGGTCAACATGAAGTGCTCGCTGATTCCTATCTGATTCTTCTTCTTTATTTGATCTTATTTTCTAGTATTGTTTTGGAGACATTGTGTATTTGCCTCAGATTTATGAGACCTGCTGGCATAGCAGGGGGAAAATGGGTTTCTTTTTTTCTCTTTTTTATGACTCACGAATTTGCTAAAAAGATAAATTTTACCCATGATGGTCACCTACCTTAGGAATTAATAATTTTTATATGCTTCCCGATACAAATGTTGTAAGGTCAGACGGTTGTCCCGTAAAATTAGTCGAGGTGCACGTAAGATTAGTCGAGATGCGCGTAAGTTGGTCCAGACACTCACGGATATTAAATAAATAGAAAAAAGATAAATTTTAGGGAGGATTTATTAAAAGATATACTGAAACATGGGGTAGTTTTCAGTCAAAGTTTTCGGCAACATTTAACTACAGATGTTCTTCTTATTCACCCGTGCATTTTTGGCTAGAAACTGCATAGAGTAAGGCTTACATTATTTAGAGTAAATGAATTCATGACTGGGTTCAACAGAGCCAGATAAGTGTTAAGCTTTGTAACTCTTTTGATAAAGAACCAGCATGGTTACACTTGTAGGTTTTATTTATTCAATCAGCTTGGACACGAAGGTCTCGAGGGGAGGCTGCAAAGAGACCGAACAAGAAATCATGGAAACAGAGGACAGATATGTATATGAGGCCATTCTTACTAAATGTTTTCTTTTCGAAGAAATTTATCCATGCGAAGGTAATGCATAGAGGAACAAGCAAAGTGATATCAGTGGCGACAACAAATGCAAAGGATCTGAGGAACAGTCTACCTTCACTTACAGATCACAATGCATGCAGAGTAATAGGGAAGCTTATTGCTGAGAGATCGAAGGAAGCAGATGTATATGCAATGTCGTATGAGCCTAGGAAGGATGAAAGAGTTGAAGGTAAGCTTGGTATTGTTATTGATACCATCAAGGAGAACGGGATCATGTTTGTACCTTGAATTTAAATAAAGAAAAGCATTACAGCTGATGTAAAGCCTCCTTATAGGGCTGGAAAAGCTTACATCTTCCTGTTTTCATTCTTTCATGTTGTAGGAATTTCATGAAACCGAAATATCCGATTCTATTACAGGACTTATTTTATGATTTCCTTTATGAATTTAATTTACAATAGGAATACTAGGGAGTCCTTTGCTCCCTTTGGATAGAAGTGATGAATTGTTGAAACGACAAATTGGTTTACACAAATGTAATCCTTTTATTGGGGGGCCCATCTAATGTCATCCACAGGAACTAGTGGCGGTAGTGGTTTTGATTTCAACTCTCTTGATAGTTGATCTTTTCTTGGCCTTGCTTCCTTCCATTCCCATTCTGTGGCCATGGCCTCCCCTCCTATTCCCAATTCTCTGTTCTTGCACAGAAGCTCCTACGTGCCTGCTCGCATATGGCGGGTCTATGCATCTCAAGCTCCCAACAACCGCCAAAGACCATCACTACCGGGCGTCGACACAAGAATTCATTGGCAAAATGAAGAAGAAGGTTGGATTGGAGGCCCTATGCCTTCCCAATCCAATCGAGACCAGAACAAGCAGGAGAGCTCGGGTCCAAATTTGGCAGAGTTGCTGAATAACTCATCCGATTCTCACTACCAGTACGCTACGTGAGCAGTGGGTTTTGCTTAATTACTTAATTTCAATTTGATTTATGTATGTAGGTGCTGGTGCTGTGCAGGTTCTTAGGAGTAAACGCAGAGGCTGAGCTGGAAGAGATAAAAAGCGCGTATCGGAGATTATCAAAAGAATACCATCCCGACACCACCTCTCTCCCTCTAAAAGCTGCATCCGACAAATTCATGAAATTAAAACAAGTGTACGAGGTGCTGAGCAACGAAGAAAGCCGCAAATTTTACGACTGGACGCTTGCCCAGGAAGAGGCGAGCCGCCAAGCTGAGAAATTGAGGATCAAGTTGGAAGATCCTTACGAGCAAGAGTTGGAGAACTTCAAATCCACTCCGGACATGGTGGATCGACTTGCAGGAAGGAACATGGAGTTGAGTGATCAGGCCACCACTGCTCTTACATTGGATATCTTCATCATTCTCTTTGCTATATGTTGCATTGTATATGTTCTAATTTTTAAAGAGCCATATTATTAGTATACTGTATATCCATACCCCATACCATACCAAGCTAAGTAAAGTACACACATTCAATCATCTGAATGGCGCATTGTCCTCGGAACGGATCCATTGCTCACACTTCACAGTAAGACCGATGACGATTGATTCTGGTAAGCCTTCAATTTCTTTCAAGTTTGAATCAATCAGAATATGATTAATATTAATTCTCCGAGCTTAAATTTTATGTTAATGGGATGGGATGACTAATACCTAATTGCATAAATATCTAAAAATTCTAATTTTTACAATTTTATTGGAGGAAGAGCAGCGCTTTAAGGAAGAAATTGGCTTTCTGTGCTAGAAGAATAAAGTGAATCAAGTCCGTTGATTTTGATTCGAAACCTAGGATGACTTTCAGAAACCAAATATGGTGAACCAAGTCCGTTGATTTTGATCCGAAGAACCACATCCATTGATTGTCTTCCTTCTCCAATTGCCTTCGTGGAAGCAAAAGCGAAACACAAATAATAAGGGATGTAATACTCTAATTCTCGTGAGTTTCAAATTTTCCTGTCATCCTGTCGCCATCGTAGATATAGGTAGAAATCAATCAATAGATTTTTTCTTTTTTCTTTTTTTTAATACTTTTTTACCTTTTTTTTAGCATAACTAGGAATCATTTTTGGCACATCTTGAGCATGAATCGGTTCATATAGCTAAACAGGTGTAAAAATAGGTTAGTTCATCGCATAACATGATATGAGGATAGACAACATAATATTAGACCGTTACACTCAAAATCAATGTGGTGTTCATAATGCAATCGTGTTACCATATATTGATCGCGTAACATGATCGGCCAGTCCCTTAAAGGTCCTACGAAGCTTGTCTCACGCCCCCCTCTCACAATAAAGCCTGTCTCTTATACACATCTGAATTGGCCTGACCCTTGAAGGTCCTACGAAGCTTGTCTCACACTCTCCATCCATAATAAAGCTAGGGATTTGTGTAGAAATCGATCTTCTCATTCTCAATAAATCATGTTTTGATTGGATCGACTCTGTATGTATGAAATCACTTCTTGTTTAATCTTAAGTTCTACGAGAATTCAATAGGACTCACAATCACTTACATTTGAGAAGAATTTGAAAGTGAAACCTCGATGACACATATATAAGAACGTGACTACTAGGGCATAGTTCAAATTTGGTGCTAAGTCGTCTCACCGCACAATATTTCAAAAATTTCCACAATTGTAATTTGGAATACAAGGGGCAGCCATGCGTAGGCGTCATCTCTCAAACCTCTATCGATAACGTCCCCTTTACAAGAAAAACCATCAATCAAGCTGCTTCACACCTACACGATCTTAAAACCATATCCACCACCATTATAAAACCATATCGCAAAGAAAATATCGCGATATGTGAAAAACTCAAAAGGAAAAAACGCATGATTTTGAAATACAGGGACAAAAAGCTAACCTACAGCTGAAAATTGACCAAAGGAGTACTTTCCCTAAAATAATTCAAGTAGATATAAAGTTGGGCCAATCCGAGTTCGATAAGGGCACCTAATTACTATGTAAAGGGTAGAAAATTGTTGAATTTTCCGCCCCGCAATTCTTTAACAAAAATTAAATAAATAGATGTAAAGATGGGAAGGATTAAACTCGTGTGTTTGCATCATCTTTCTCCTCTTTGTTCAGGAGTGAGTCCTCCGTTTCCACATTCAGGACAGCTCTTTAATCCGAATCCTTGACACTCGAAACATCTGAAACAAAAAGAATTGAAGGAAATGTGAATGGATGAATAAATTAGTATGAGTTTAGGTAAAAAGTAAAAGATTGAGTGAGTGAGTGACTTCCAACGCTCGAAAATGTTTCCGTTTTTCTTGTTTTTCCCAGTCCCCTGCAGAAACCAAACAAATGATATGAGTATTATAAAGGATAAGAGAATAATTAATGTGCAACGTGGCAGTGCATTGAATTTCGTGAAATTGATTTGAGAATGGAGAGTTGAGACCTTGCATCCAGGACAATCGATGGCCCCTTTACCTCCACACTTTTGGCATCTTTTGGGAAGAGAAAATGTTGCAGCTGCACCGAAGGAGATATTGGATCTTCT